CCCTACCAAGTATGTGGTTTGCGAATATTTCCCTGTATTCTGCAGGCTGCTCTCTCACTCTGTGGATTGACTGACCAACTTGGATTTTGTGGTCTGAGCAGGCTATGAATGAGACACCATTGTCACGGTGGATGCTGCACACCTTTGTTCCGACTTGTACAGTTTCTGAGGTTTTATTTACAAGCCGTTAACCAGTGTCAGGTGTGGGTCTGGCTTTTTGTCTTTTGGAGGGATGTGCATTTTCCCAGTATCATTGTTGAAGATAATATCTTTTCCTCACTATGCTTTCTTCTTGCTCTTGACCTCGGAAATGTGGGTTTATTTCTGCGGAGCAATACCTGTACAGAAAGCTCATTTTCTGACCTGACTGTTCAGCTTGAGGCCCAGTTCATACAGAAAAGAAAAGCAGCAGGCTGACTTATCTGCCATTTTATCAGCCACCAGACGGCAGTTCTCACAAGAATGAATTGGTTATCCAGACTGTCCCAATGTATCCATGAGTGTAACTAATGAGGAGTGTCACACCTTCCTGGTTTTTACTCTGCTCCCACATTTCCACCTCTCTGTTATCTTACCACCGGTCCAGCTGCTTCCCTGGGCTATAGGAGCCTCTTGCTGGTGATCCTTCAGTGCTTTTGACTTGGCCTCGGCAGGCTTTGAAAACGTCCTTGGCTTTCAGTATTTCAAAATGACCCCACCACTCTGCATCTAATCTAGGTGCAGTCATTTGCCCTGGATCCCTGCTTTCTTTCACTGGAAACATAGCCTTTCAGAATTGGGCACAAGGGTGCTAGCTGCCGTTGCTACTGGTTATCCTGAGCCTTCCCAATGGAGAGTATTAGATCTCACATATGGTTTGTTCTTGTTGCTTCTGTTGGTTTGGTTGAGTATTCTGTTGTTGTTTGGTTTTGTTTTGAAAGAAATATTTAGGATTACAGGGGTTTTTACCTAATTGTTTTATCGTGGTTCCTGGTAACATCAAAACTATAACAAATGTGATACTTTGAGAGAATAAGCCTATCATTACTAACAATATAAGGATTAAAGAATTCCGGTGTTTTACTTTTCTTCCCTTCTGGTAGCTCTTTTGTCTTTATCATATTACTGTTGACTGTTGGGGCTTTCCACCCGGCAACAGGCATAGACACTGTGGTCTGAATGTTCATGTGCACGTCCCCAGGGTGATGATGTCAGGAGGTGGGACCTTCTGGAGGCTGTGAGGTTGCCCAGATGGACCAATGAGCAGGATTAGTGTTAACTACTATCATATAAAAGAGGTCCCTTCTGAAGGGAACACATGAAGACATGAAGGCATGCAAACACAGCAGTAGCCATCTATGAAACCCGGCCCTGCAAGCCATGGTGTGTGTGTGTGCGCCTGTGTAGGTCAGAGGACAACTTTCAGGAGCCAGTTCTCGCCTTCTACCTTGTAGGTCCTGGGGAGTGAACTCAGGATGCCATGCTTGTATGGCAAGTGCTTTTACTTTTGAGCCACCTTGCCAGCTTCATCTTTTGTTTTGGGATGGTTTTTAAACAAGGTCTGTTATGTAGTCAAGCCTGACCTGGAACTCTTGATCTTGCCTCTGGCTCTGGGGGACTGAGGACGCTGTCAGGTACCACCCAGCTCAGTCTCTTACTCGACAAAGGGTGGCACAGCTGTACATGTCACCAAAAGTGCTACCCTGGAGACTTTTGGGCTGCTGCACAGAACTCGGTCACATGATTACAGGAACCTGGGATAATTTCACCAATCCCCCAGACATTTACGTTTTCTATTCTCAGAGCCACAGTGAAGAGCAGTGTGTGGCATCTCATGATGTTTGGGGCGGTGCGTTTGAGCCATAGGTTTCTAAAAGGAAGGCTGTGGGACTGGAGTCAGTGCAGATGCTAATTAGATAGTGGTGAATTTTCCTTCAGGGGTGCAAGTAGAAGATGGTGAGATAAATTAGAATTATTTCTCACAGGCATAGATTGAGCTGGCTTTTCTACTTTTAGTAATTTAAATCCTAGTATATCTTGGTAACAGACTGTCAATCAAAAATGACTTTCTAACACACATAAAACGTGTGTACATGCATATATTTGTTAGAATATATCTGTATATATATTTATTAGAATATATGTATGTTTGTTAGAATATATTAGCCTGCATGTATATGTGTATTAGTTATATACATATATATGTTAGAAAAAACCATATTATTTAGTTTTTTCAAACTAAGTATAGCTCTGGTTGCCCTGGAAATCACTATGTTAGACCAGGGTGGCCCTGAATTAACTCTGCCTCCCAAGTGCTGGGATTAAAGGCATGTACCACGACGTTTGGTTTCTAACTAAAATACTGGCTGAGACCAATGATCTTCCAAGCCTCATTTGTTGTTTTTCATTTTGGACCCATAAACCCCTGTACTCAGCCTCTTCGATCCAGAAGTCCTGTGCATGGCTTCCAAAAACATTATCATGAAGAATATATTGTGCAAATGAGCATGGCTGGCTCAATGGCTGGCTCAATGGCTGGCAGTAAGAGAAATCTGGGGCACTTTATCTTGGCTTTCCAGAAGCATGCCATGCAGTGGCGTGGATAAGACTGAAAAGTGACTGTGACTTAAGATGGTGTGTGACTCAGCGAGGACAGGGCCGCAGGGAACAGCTGCCCAGGAAAAGGCGGGAGAGCATTCCCAGCCCGATTGACTAGGAAGATTTCTGGAAATAAGTTGAGATTTGCTCAGTCTAAGAGTTAGGGAAGCAATTTCCTAGGTACTGGAAAAGGCGAGCAGATGTGATGAGATCTGGGAACTCAGTAAGGCTCTGAGTACCCACGCTGAAGAAAAGGCTTCAAGGGGCAGAACACACCTGAGAATGAGGATGTGTCCGTTGGAAGGACCTGGGCTAGGTGGAGGGGCGTGGGTTTGTGCAATAGCCATTAGGAAGCACTGGGGACTGAGAAGGGGACTTCTATGATTAGCGTGGGGTTGTGATGAGGTTGTGTGAGTTGAGACCGATGTGTGTGGGAAGAACCTGGCCAGGCTTGCTTGGGTAATGTGTGATACAGGTGTGGCGTGATAAACATGGGGAAAGCTATTCTGGAAGACAGGTATGTTGAAAGTTTACATGGCCAGGCAGGAGAGGAAGGAATGAGCGATTCTGCAGGGTTATGAGTCTGCAGTACCGGGAGAAGAGAAACACAGCGGGCAACATGGAAGGTCGTTGGCCTTGCAGTATTTCCATTTCAGCAAACTTCCCCCTGGAGGAAGAAAACTGCTCAGTGGGATGATGCTTCAATCTGGATGATCCTCAGGGAGGCAATGGCTGAACTATTTGGGTGGACTCATTGTTTAATTCCTTCTGTGTGCGTGTGTGAGTGTATGTGAGTGTGAGTGTGTGCAAGTACAAGCCAAGACAAATGTGTAGCTTCTCAGGTGCCATCTACCTTTTCTTGAGATGGAGCGGGTCTTTCATTGGCTAAGAGTTCATTTAGTAGGCTGTCTGGCTAGCAAACCCCAGGGACTCCCAGTCTCACCCTCCACAGTGCTAGGATTACAAGGAGGTGCCCCATACCTGGCTTTTTTTTTTTTTTAATGTGGGTTCTGGGGATTGAATTCAGATACTTGTAAACCAAGCACTTCACTGACTGAGCCATCTTATCTCTCCCCAGACCCCGGGCCTGACCCCTACCCCTTTTTGAGACAGTGCCTTGCTATGTAGCACACGCTGACCTGAACTCATGTAGCTCAGACTAGTCTTAACCTCGTGGTCCTCCTGCCTCTGTCTCCCAAGTGCTGGGATTACAAGCATGAACCACCACGCCCAACCCAGGTTGACCAATTATTGATGAGACTCTCCACATACAGCTCTATGGACTCTTTGGCTTCCCAAACATCCACGGCTGATACAAAACACTGTCAGACTTCTCAGTGTCTCTCCCTATGCTGGGCCTGAGAGTACTGTATGCTCACCTGCTCTGGCAGACTTGAGAAAGTAAGGTGGACATTTGTGGTCACTTGGCCATCCATCACAAATATGCTGCTCTCAATAAAATTCTCTGACTTTGTCTTAAAATGCATCTCCTTCCAGTCCCCAATTCTTGTAATCCAGAATATGTCCTATCCTCAGATTCAGAGGATGTCTAGTAACTCAGGAATGTGACCCTCAGGACTGGTCCAGGAATGAGTCCCGAATTTGGATTTAGTGTTGGTCGGCCCATGAGAAGGCAGCCTGTCTCCTTCTTTCTTACTAGACTTAAGCCCAGAGGATGCACGTGGATCCTGTGTGAAGTCCACCAGGCAGGAAAACACAAATGGTCTCTCTAGTAACTTTGTATCTGGTATTTAGAATGCGCTGTAGAGGCAGTTTCTGTGCCCATGGTTGGCATCTGAGGTCCCCACATCAGAAATCCATTTTCTGTAAAAGGGATGAGGCTGAGCATGAGCGGGGGCTGCAGTCCATATTCTCAGGTCTCACTCCTTGGGACCAGTGCTCTTAGGGCCAGGTCAACACTCTTTCGGCCCATGTGCCTTTTCTCAGGGAACACCAGGGCTTGCACACAAAGTGCTCATTGGAGAACCAAGGACAGAATGGCTCTTGAGCTTACAATAGGTTTCCCTGATGATGTGTGTTTAGCTAATGATGTTCTTTGTACATCTGTCACATTCCAGACTAACACTCGCTTTTGGAGTTCTACTCCCAGATAGTGAGGTGCGGGAGGGACAGAGAGTCCTCATGTTCTCTTTACGTGTCTGTGTCCCACACCTGGGGAATGAACAGCTGTCCCGAGGAAAACAGGCTCTGCTGACACTGGAGCAGGGGTTCAGCTGTATCCCCGACTCTCTCAATTAGGGAATACTGCATTCTGCTCTAAATTAGGCCACTCTTTAACACCCATGGGAGTCCTGCTCATCAGTGACATAGGCTAAGACCATGACAATATGGGAAACAACAGCACTAGGGCCTTTAAATTCTGTCATTCCTGTAAAAATAGAAGCACAACAACTTTGGAACAATGTGATTCACTCCACTTTATTCTGGATGCATATTACAAATAACAACTCACAACATTCCAGTGGACACGGAAAGCTAAGGCCATTCTGTGAGTTATTTTTAAAACTTGGTGTTCTCCACATAATGATCTTTTAAAAACGAGTTACCAAAACCAAGACTCTGAAATAAAAATTTAAGGTACAAGACACCTTTAGAGTCCTATTTAGTCTGAAGTTCATTGTACGGCCAAGCCATTTTCATCTTCTACAGTTAAGTTAGAACACTAGCCACTAGCTCAGCGTCCAGCTCTTTTCTCAAAGTTACAACATAGTGTTTTGTTTCTGTCAACCAATGACCAGTATTGAGACACCATTTTCTCCTCCTAATGAGTGACAAGGAGAGACGTTAAGGATACGTTATAGAACTCTTGGAACAGGAAAAAGAAGGGGACCCGTAACTAAGGCACTGAAAGCACATTATTTTATATAAAGAAATGTAAACAATTTACCACCAACAGGCTCCTTCTGCTAGTCTTTATGACTGTACTGGAGCATCTCTATTGGGCCAGAGCTTGAGAGCAGGTGAAATGGAAATCTGTCTGTCTGCAGAACTCAGGCTTGGTTACCAATATGTGGTCTGCATGTGGAGTGCCCACCACTAGAGTGCATGAGTGGAAGATGCTAGTTCTTTCTCGTCTATGTTGAGAGCACACAGAGGCAGGGTTTTAGTCTTAGGATATAAGTTCTTTCAGATACTTATGAATTTCGTTTTCAGTCTTTCCTCATGTAGCCTGACTTAAGTTCAGGATTCCTTGAACTTATTGCAAAGATACCTACTGTGGAAACCTGTCACCTCGCCAGTTCCCCTCCTTATTGGTTCATACTGTAAAGTGAAATGGTTTACATTATAAATAACCCACAACTACTATACTTAAAATCTCCCAGAATGGGGTCAACTAGCCAGCTAGTGCTGTGAGCATTTCGGTCCCTCAGGTTCACCATCACATGGAGCAGGGGCTAGGTTCTGCTGTAGCAGGGCTGCCAACTGCTAGAAGCTCTGGCTGAAGGGTGGGGTGTAATGGGTCATTTCTAAGGCCAACTACCATCAAGGATTGATTTAAAGCAGTTTTATGCTCAAAATCATTATATTATATATGTAATATATATTATATATATAAAGTTAATAAAAATTTAACAAAGCTAAATATGTAGGTAAAAACAAATAATCATTTTATTTAAATATTAAATATTTAAATTTTATTTAAAAGGGGATTTTCTTTTTCCTTCTGGAGAAATTTCTCTTAAAGCAATTTCTCTAGTTTTAGTGCTATACTTAGAATTATGAATTTGGGGTAGATAATAAAATTAAGGTTTTCCTACCTTAAGCATGTTTTCTGTGATCAAAAGAGGAGGGAGATCTTCCCGTTGAAGGGTGAATAAGAGGCAAAGGGTTTGAGGACACACAATGAAATGGGCATCACTGCTGGGTAATCCCAGGTACTGTGTGCAGAGAGAGAAGCTTTTTCTCTTTTACCTGGGAAACAAATGTAATTTTGATTGTTAGCTATTTCCATGTTTAAATGTGATCCAAGGAAGTTGCAGAAAATCTTAAAATTGCAGTCTTTCTCATTAAGGGAAAGGGAAAAAAAGGTTGCTCTTTTTTGTGTGTGTTTTTAACCTTAAAAACTCTAACGTCAAACAGCTGTGTTGAGAGCAGATGTGCACAGAAACTAATTAGGAAGCTCCTGGCAGAATTGAACTGAGCTTTGATAGAGCAGTTAAATTCAGGCTGGTGTGCTTCCGTAGCGGCACCCCTCACAAACACTCTCCCACATTTTAAACACAAGCTCCAAAGAAATAAACTAAACATGATCCACTAACTGTGCTGTGTCCCCACCAGGGCTTTCTTAGAGAATGTACTGCTAAGCTGAGTAGGAAGGTGAATTCTGGTCTGAATACACAGGGCAGTGATAGCTCCTGAGAGTGCCCAGCGGCGGCTGGGTGGGGGATTGACAGGTTTGCTAACAGCTGAACAGTTTTATGTGTCTGTGCCTGTGCCCCCGCCCCAGTCAATGACAAAGACAGGCCCATGTAGCTCTGTGGGAACAATGGCCACATGCTTCTCTTACCCAGGTCAATGATGCTATTGGTCTGCTGGGTTTTCATGGCTTCCAGATGATAGGGCTATTTGGTAAACAGCTGGTATGTGTGTGGGTATAAATGTTACTGCTGAGAGAGTTAGCAAGGGAGTCCTTGATCTCAATGAAAGGGTTCATTCTGGGTTAGCATTTTTAGTTTTAAGAGTGAAACTGATCAAGGCTTGGGGGCTTTGGCTATAACATCCTGTCTGTGGGCATTTTTGTTGTAGCTCTGATGGCAAAAGGTAGACACCCTACATGCATAGTATACACACCTGATACCACTGTGTGTAGGTTCTAAAGCAATATTTCATAAGACCGTTTCTGTCTGAAATACAAGAATGTTCTAATATACCTTTCCATGTGTCCGTTCACACTGATAATGAAGCTACACCTGCTAAGGAGCAGGAGGGAATGAGGACCGAATGAGGAGCAAGCTGAGCCAGTTTCTGTCCTTTAGAATCCAACTGGAGAGCCTGCAGGTGCTCCCTGAGCAGAGTGAGGTGTGACTTCCAGGTGAGAAAGGGGCCTCCTGCTGGCGGCTTCAGCTCAAGGCTTTGTGAGTGAGCAATGAAGGGCTCCCTATAAAATGGTGGTCAGTTTAGGACAAGACAATTGTGGTTGGGGTTTGAAGGCTGTAAAAGGATGAAAGGATAGATGGACGGAGCCCCACAGGAGAGCAGGATACCACCCGCCTACAGTGCTGGGACATGGTCATGGTGCCAGGCCTGCCTTTGGACTGGCAGCCTGTCAGAAGTGGGCTGACCCTTTCAGAAAAGCTTGTATCTTGTCTCAACAGCCTCCTGATTGTTTCTAGTATTCTGGCCCGAGTTATTCATAATGATTGACCCCTGCTACATATGCAGCACTGGAATTACATTCAGAGAGTTTAAAGAAACTGTAGCAATATTTTCCCCAGAAAATTAAGTGCAAAATATCTTTAACAAAGAATGATGATAGTAAGAAACATTTGACATAGTCATGCAAAAACTCATCTCGGTTTACGAAGGCTGTGACATTTCCATAATGCTCCTAGGGTTTTATGTGGTGAATGCAACCGTCTTACTTGTTTCTCTTTGAGTTTAAATGTGGATGCTTGTGGAAAAAACGGTAACACGCAAGTTCAATGATTTCCAGTCCACCAAATATTCTCTCCTGCAGCACAAAAAACACAATGCTGATTATGAAATACCACCAAACTAGGCGGTACCAATATATGAGCAGGCACACTGCAGAGCAGAACAAAGTCCAATACAGTATGGACAGCAGCTGGACCACAAGGACTCTGAGCTCAGACTTGCAAGGTGGAACTGTGCTCTGTCCAGTAAAATGAAAGCTTTTTTCCCCTTGGTAGAAGGAGCGCAGTCTCTCTTCCTTCTCTTCCCACCGCTTGTGGCACCAGAGCTGAAGATCCTCCTTGGAAGTGGGAAGGGTGTCGACTGGATACCTATGGACATGGAAGTGGATCTCCTTGGGAAAGTCTCCAAGGAGGAGGTGTTTCTCAGTTTGAGGAATGTTGTAAGGATATGCCACGGTGATGTCATGGACAGCATCGAGGTTCTTACCTAGGATTTGGAAAGATGAAAACTTTAGCAACAGTCAATGGGATGGTAATGCTGATTCGCTCTGCCAGGCAGAGCCATGAGCATGAAGAATCAGGACAGAGTGAACCACCATGAACAAACAAGAGCTAAAAATACCAGTGTTTCTGGGTACTTAGGTCAATATTTACCAGCCAGTTTTAGCTTTTTTTTCCTGTTTGCTAATTACCACAAAGACTTTTAAAAAGAAATTATCTTCATTCCCAGAAATGGTAATCTGCATTCTAGAACTGCACAGACACAGTAAGCTGGAGCTGAGGTAGGAGAAAAGGGTATAGGCTAGCCTTTCAGCCACAGGATGTTACACTGACACAATTAACATACTCAGCTCATCAAAGGCGATAGCAATGTGTGCGTGCACCTTTACTTTAAAATGACCATGATAATCATTGCAAAGGAACCTCAGAAACAAAACAAACTTGAAGAAATTGTCAGTCACTTGAACACTTCTGTACAATTAAAAAAACACAAACAAGCATAACAACTTTGATCCTGACCTGAAACACCACTCTGCATAAGAGTTTCTCCATGTAGCTCTGGTACCTGTCATGGAACTCACTCTGTAGACCAGGCTGGTCTCAAACACACAGAGATACTCCTGCCTCTGCCTTCCAAGTGCTGGGATTAAAGGAACATGCCACCACTGCCTGGCTCTGCACAAGTCTTTAATGGAGTTGTTTTCAAAGTCACACACCAGATGCTAACAACAAAGACATGGTAAACATAGTCCCTGGTGTCCTTCAAAATGTCGCTAACATAATCAGGAACGTAAGAATGCACAAGATTTCAAACAGTCCCATGGGGACATGGCAGATGAGGTGGGGGAAGGAACAGGTTTTGTAGATGGGGTGGGTTGAACACCATGGGAACAGGACATTAAAAGCAGCCTGGGGCCCATGGTATAGGCCTTCCTGCTGTATACTGTATGTGGCAGAGGAGCAACTTGGGGGCAGTAGAGCATCAGCAGTGTGAAGACCACAGGCAAAACAGTGGCTGTTACAACAGGCCAGGAAGGAGCCGTCTACAATAGTAACAAGAACTGATGTGACATGGTGGCAGCTGGAGGAGGGGTGTAGAGGAGGGAGTGTTCTTTGGCTCAGCACTGAACCCCTAAGGCGGAGCCTTAGGGCTTAGAGAGCTTGTGCTTTGTACGATCTGCACAGGACAATGGCTACCACTCAACTGAGCCCTGTGCACATAGGTCCAGGGAAGCTTAGTGTTCTACCCAAGGGATACAGTGGTGTAGGAGGTTCTTCTGTTCATGTGTTGCTTTCATTGATTAATGAATAAAGAAACTGCTTTGGGCCTGATAGGGCAGAACTTAGGTAGGTGGAGAAGACAGAACTGAATGCTGGGAAGAAGAGCAGAGTGGCAGAAGCCATGGATCCTCCTGCCTGAGACGGATGCCGGTAAGCCACTGGCACGTGGTGATACATAGATTAATAGAAATGAGTTAAATCAAGATGTGAGAGTGAGCCAATAAAAAGTTAGAGCTAATGGGCCAAGCAGTAATTTAATTAACACAGTTTCTGTGTGATTATTTCGGGTGTAAGCTAGCCAGGCAGCCGGGAAAGAACAAGGGCCGGCTCTCCATGTAACAATACAGCACTGTTGGTACTATCTCTGAATGTTATTACCTTCAGTGAATAAACCTAAAAGTGTTCTTTATTAGTCGTATAAACAATGGATTTTGTTATGACAGTTTCATACAGGTATGTAATATACTTCAACAATATCCATCCCTAGTCTTCTCTCCCCTTCCAGTAAAGAGACTGGATGAGGACTTGACAGAATAGATGACGCAGGCAGGACTCGTGTGTGGTGACAGCAGTCGGAATAGTGGTTCCTACATGGTAGGAAGTACCTAGAAGGCACATGAGGAAATCTGGGGAACAGCAAAAGTATTCTAGACTGAGGCATGACTGCCTCTATCAGAATCAAACAGCATCTGAGCTGAGAATATTTTACTCTGTTTAAGTTTTACCTTGATAGCAATAATGGCAAAGAAGTGAAACAATTTTCCACCACACTCCTTCAACTGAACCCGTCACTTTTAAAAATGGTTCAGGTCTTCTGTAGCCGTTCATCTCGGCTACACTACAGCTCACTTTAGAGTAACAACCAGGTTTAAACTTGGTTTATTCATTCTTTACAGAAACCTTTCCTTGACTGGACAGTCAGTGTGGTACCAGCACTCTTTCCACACAGACCAGGCTCTGCCTGCTTCTGCCACTTGCCATAGCCAGTGTGCTTGCGGCTGCCGGACCTCTACACCCTCAGTTTCCCACTTTCTCTCACAGTGAAGGAAAGATGGTCACCATGTCAACGTCTCACGTTTTGTTTTAAAAACTCCTCTGGTTTCCTCCTTCCACGCAAACCCTTCTCAGAGCTACTGGCATCTCTTGTACCTACAAAGTACACGGCTGACCGATTCTGAGAATTAAAGAAGACACACAGGCCATCAGACAAACAGGTAAAGCTATAGCCTCTCTCTAGGAACAGTTCCCACCATCATGGAGTCTGTGGAAAGCTCATTCACATTCTGCCTTTGTCACTATCCATAGCATTGTTTGCCTAGACCCCGAGGATGCCAATCAGGGGCCTCCCTGCTCAAGATAAATGTTCCAACTGATGTTTTACAAAGCTTTCTCCTGAATTCCTTGTTTCAAATACATAATTTATCTCCCTGAAATGCCTGACCTCAATTTCCTTCAATGTCCAGCTCAAATGAAGAGCCTTTATTAAACGCCAAGGCTTAGCATGGCCCCGGCTTGTGTGAGACCCAGCTGCCACTGTATGCTCCAACAAGAACCATGCCTGCCTCTTTAGAGCCCAGGTTTTAGAGAGGTTCTAGAAATGTGCATGTGATCAGTATGTGGGGGACTTATCTTCTCACTTGAAAGTATGGGTGCTAGTTATACCTTCTTTGTGGGAAAGTTATTATAATTCAGTGGATGAATGCAGAGTGAGTCTTGGACCCAGTAAAGTCATAAATGTTAGCACTGACTACAACACTTCTTGTTGGTTTAGTGAGACTGAGTAAGCCTCATGATAGTTTTTCTATCTTGGGTTCCACGAATTGTTGGTCCTGGAAGGGCAACAGTCCAAAAATCTCTTATAAATTGCTTGAGACTTAGAACTCTGAAAGGCTATTAATATAATCCAGCATAACTAAAATGCTACCTTTTTATATGGCAAGTAAGTACAGAACAGTGTTTAAATAAAAAGATAAATTAAAGGGAAGAGGAGCTGGCAAGAAGAAACTTCGTCCTTGACATTCACGTCCTGAGCTTCAGGTAGCATAAGGGCTGGCTTCCTTAAGCTCAGACTTAGATATGGGTAAACACATCAGCAAGAGAAAGGCCTGTGCTTACAAAAGGAGAGTCAACAGTCCTGAGATGTTTTAACCTTTATATGAAGTAAAGGTCTCCAGACAACACAAAGGCCACAAGACACTATTCTGCTGGGTGGGAAAGCCTAAGTCTATGCAGGCAGAGGAGCTTACTTCTGTACCACATCTCCTCTAGACCCCATGGTCTGTGCCCTGGAGCCCAGGGAAGTCAGTACCATGAGATAAGGACAGGGAAAGGGGAGCATGGCTGCAGGGGCTGGGCTCACATAAGACAGTAAAGAAACAAGAGTCAAAAGTTGAGACGTGCTTCCACTTACCAGTTAAAATAATAGATTAAGAAAAAATATTTCTGCTATCACTAAGGTTTTATATTATCCTTACACCTAGCTGTCATCAACAGAAAGCAGTTTTAAAAGGTCTCACTCTTTTTCAGATGATCTAAATTACAGGCATGGATGCCATCTGCCTGCACTGGGCTCAGAAAGTAGATTTGTTCTGTTTTGGATACTGTACCTAATGGAATTATTTTATAAAGCTAGCGCTCTGTTAGAACAGCCGTGCACACTGGGACCTCAACTGTTTCTATTAGTGGAGGAACAGAGCAATTGCTCACTTGTCCAAACCTTACTTCTAAGACTTGGACGGACACTGGAGGATTCTGAATACTCTAGTCATGTTTAAATAACCAACAAAAGGTGAAAACTAGGATTGATTTTTCCAAATGTAATGTCCATAAGGTAATGTCTGTAATCATCTCAAGTTGAAGTCATGGCATTAAAAGAATCCTATCTAGTATCAAATGCTCACTGTGAACAGGAGATTGCCGAATCCTTATGCATTTGAATGTTTAAAAGGAAAAACTGGAAGACGCTTTTGTGAGCTCTAAAACTGTATCGAAGGGAAGGAGCGCTGCTGTACCCACGCCTACTAAAGCATATGATGCAACTGTGCAGCTGGATAACAGAATATTCCAAATTCCCAACAGTGATCTTAGAACTAGTAAGGATTGTAAGTTTCCCTTTATTTCTTTCATAATAACTATGTATAAAATACACAAAATACAACTTTATATTTCATTTTGATACCTTGATTACATAAAAAAATCTAGCTGGATCTGAATCCATAAATTTAACTACAAATAATAGCAACTACTAAAGGAACTTGTCACCCATGATCCATTTTATGTTAAAATAAAAAGCTGAAGGCCACTGGTTTTTTTTTTGTTTTCATATTTAAAAACAAAACAGAAAAATTATCATCCTCGGGACAGAAGTTGGGTTTATAACTAAGCAACCATTCCCCTGCACTAGCATTGACACGCTGGCACTAATAAATAAAACACCTTCCGACTTCAAAATAAGAGCATGCATGAGCCTCTTGAAACAAACTGGCATGAGGACTCAAACAGCACCATGTTCATTACCAGAGAATTTCTGTCATTTCCTACTTGGAACATTATTCACCATCTTTTCCGCCCAAGTTGAAAATTTATGGAACAAAAGATGGAGATGAACAAACAGCAGCCAGTCTGGACCATGCTGAAGCACTCTTTTAGACTTCCCATCCATGCCATTTAAGATGTCCTAAAATATTATGGATGAATGTTTGAGAG